TCTTCTCTTCTCTTCTCTTCTCTTCTCTTCTCTTCTCTTCTCTTCTCTTCTCTTCTCTCTTCTCTCCTCTCCTCTCCTCTCCTCCCCTCCCCTCCCCTCCTCTCCTCTCTCCTCTCCTCCTTCCCTTTCTTTTCTTCTATAATTCTGACTATACGAGACCTTCTTATGTATATTGCTCCATTTTCCATAATGGAAAATAGATATTTGGTCAATTTCAGGAAGAGCTTTGTGCAGACACCACTGAAGAGGTCAATAGTCAATTGAGTGATTGTGTTCCTGTCATGGACATGTTAATTCCTGTAGGATAGTCCTTTTTAAGATATACCCTATTAGCAGCTCACTTAGCTGACACATAGGAAAGGGCCCATATTTGGGCCTCACTCAGTCTGTGCTTAGAATATTTGTAAAGATGTTGCCCTTTTGTGAGGCTTTAAAAAGTTATTGATTTTTGTCTTGATTTTAATACTTTTAAATTACTATTTATTGTAATAAATTTTAGCTACCTTGAGCATTTGCTTGAATAGAAAGGTGGGCTATAAAGTAAATAGTTAAATTTAAGATTATGTATTCTTAATCAGAAACTGACATGCAATAATGTGTCAGGGCAGTTATGCTTTTATTCATCATTCCCATCTACCCTGTTGAATGCCAGTCCTCTTTTCAAAAGCATGGACAAAATCACAGCAAACCATTGTGTGGAATCTTTTGATGTGTCCATTCCAAGTCCCTGATCGAGACTTTCCCAGCACCCGCCTTTATGTGCTACCTGTACTCACCTCAAGGCCGAGCAAGGCAGAGACACAGGCTTCAGAGGCATCACAGATGGCAGTCAGGTCATGACCACCTTCCAATGCTAGCACAACACGTCCATCTGCCAGTTTCATCAGTTGTTTGGTCAGGTGCCCAAAACCTACATGACCAAGAAGGAAACATGGATTAGTGTTTCCTACTTTAGATTTCACATTGCTCTCCATCTTCTCTCTCTGCTAGAAACTGAAGGTAGTCATGGATGTCTATTGTGGATGAAAAAACATCGACATTTATGAAAACAGCGATCAAGCTGTTTACAGCTTGGAAGTAAGGTAAATAGTCTCTAAGTCACTACCCAGGACCGTCTGTCCTCTATGTTTTTAATAATGTTTGTATGAGACATACAACATAAAAGACCAAGGAGGTAGCACTAAATGATCTCCATGGAGAAGTCATCAGAGATAAAAAGAGCTGCAGCTCCAACTATTGTAGCATCATCAAAACACATGGAGGACTGTAACTCAGTAGAAGAGTATTCAAGCTTTTCTTTGCACTGGCAATTAAACAGCTCTCAGATAATGCAGCTTGGAAAGGCATGCCAGAAAAACTATTACTTGTAAAGAGTAGATAATGAGCAAGCTGAATCACTATGAATAAGTCATCTTCCTATATCCATGCTGGTGTTGGAACTCTAATCTATCTGACAAATGCCTTTTGCTAAGGTTAAGAAACCTGTGGCCCTCCATATTTGCTGAACTACAATTCCCAGCATTCTTGGCTAGGTTCATTAGCACTGCTAGAACTATAATTTAGCAACATTTAGAGGGCCACAGATTCCCCATTTCTATCAGAACACTTTTCATGAGTTATAATGGGAATATTTCTAGAATATGCAGACTAGGTAGGGATGCATAATCTCCCATGGTTATTTACATTAACATTTCAAGAGCTATTCTGACTAGGGAACAACCTCATCTGTCAAAATGGGGCAGGACTTGGCAACTAAAGCTATTCCACAGAGTGGTGGGGAATAGAAGGTGATTTTTCTCAACTTAGTGGCTTCCAGTTCTCATAATCCTTAGCCAGCATGACCATTTCTCAATGGGGAAGTCTGGACTAAAATGGATGAAGTTTCATGCCAGTAGTAAGTAAGTATGGGATCAGTCTGTGCTTGGCTTGGAGACACTGGGAATCTTAACTACTTTGAGCTCCACAGTGGAAGTAATTGGAATATCAATGTCAGTATCATAATTTATGTTGTATTATTTGTACCACTATAAATATATATGGTTTCTCCCAGAAGGAGGTAAAGCTGTTCTTCTGTTGGAAGAAGACACCAGAAGAACAGAAGTCTTGGGATGCAAAAAAGAAAAATGGAACCTAGGAAAAACATATAAATAAATGGTGAGGGGAAAAAAACCATAGAATTTAATAGTAAGCCCTATGGCACTGTTGCCTACCAATAGGCTATCATTAGAGGCAATCTTCACATATAAAATAATACAAATATGAAGATAAACGTGTATCCAAAATAGTTGTTTTGGTGTATACCAGTGGACAACGCACAACAGAACTGAGCTGGGGAACAGTTCTATTCACACCTTTCCCAACTAGTCTGTGAATAGTTTGCTCTATTTATAAACTGGGAAGGGACCCTCCCCCACGTTCCTCACACTCACATTTGGCTGTGACGGAATATCCACCCAGCGGGGACAAGTGTCCCTCAACAGCATCGAAGCCAGCAGAAACAAGGACCATATCTGGGGAGAACTCGTGGGCTATAGGCATCACCACAGTCCTGGAGGACACAAAATAGCTCTCAGATTTCTCTTAGGAAGAGGAGGCAGGACAGCATTAACTCTGGATCAACTGCAATGTATGGATCAGGAAAATTCCAGCCATTTCAGCCTTCCCATCTGAGTCTTTGTAACTTCCTCCAATGCACTTACTAAACTGAGCCACGTATCTGTAGACAAGCCTTCCTCAACTTGGCACCATTCAGAACTATAACTTCCACAGTACATTATCAACCTGGCTTTTGGCCATGAATGTTAGAAATTATAAGACTTGTAATCCAACACAACTAGAGAGAAGTGGGTTGGGGAAGGCTGCTACAGGTCATGCAAGTCAGAGATGGAGGATATTAGAAGGTTCCTCCTAATTGTACTAAACAATTTCTAGAGTGGGAGCTATGTTAGTCTGTTGAAGCAAAACCAGCAAGCAAATCTTGTGACCCTTGAAACACCTTCTATGGCATAACATAAGCTTTCTTGAATGAAAACAATGGTCCACCAAAAAAATGTTATAAAATCTTTACAAGGCTAGCTCTATCATTAGGCAGAGGTGGTCATCTCAAGTATCAAATGCTAAGAAGTGGCAGCGATCTTCTAATGCAACGATCTTCAAACATAGTGAAGAAATTGTCCCATTGCCAGAGTTGAAGTGGGAAGGAGGACCAGCTTATTTTCATATCATTAGGAAATGTATCGGATTATCCAGTTGTTTAAAGTCCCTAAGACAATTTTGCCTCCTGGAAGTGTTGCCATAAAGCCTCTTACTAAGAGACAGGGGAAGAAATAAATTTTACAGGATTATGACACTATCGTCATCATGTAACATTTGCTTTGTTTACCTCAACAACTTGCAAGGGATTTTTGCAAAATTCCCTCTAGAGGCTGAGACAACTGAAGCCAAGACAGCTGTGTCTTAGGCCAATCTCCCCGGACTTTTTCATATACTGCAGTTGGAGAGGAGGGGAGGGAAATCACAAACTTTTTGTGGCCTGCAGAGCCACAAGCTGTAACACTGACTTTTAGCAGCAAATTGCTGAAAAGTGAATGTGGAATTTCCCATCACTTTTCAGCAGAAAACAAATACATTAAAAAGTGTGTAAGTCTTAAGTCTTTAGATTTAATTCACCAAAATGAACATTTAAAAAATCATAAGAAGTATGATTCTTTTCTACCCATTCAAATCAGTGACACCCTAACTGCCCCAAACCCTGTTCCGGGGGCTGAACCATGTCTGGAATACCATGAATCACTTCCTGCTCCAGAATAATAATTTCCGGAAAGTGACAAGCTACCCCTTGGAATAGCCAGATTGGCACATTCCAGGAGAAAAACAGAATGTTCTGGGGCTTACCAAAACATTCCTTGTTGGGCCACAGAGCTTTGCACATTCTTATTTACTGTGGATAGCAACCTTACCTGAAGGCCGTCAGATATTCCACATCACCAATAGGGGGGTCCACTCCACCAGTCCAGGCAATGTTTACATTGTAACCTACACCCATCCCATTGCCAACCTGGAAGAAAGAAATCTCATGGATAACAAAAGCCCTCAGCCACAGGGTTTACCATTCAGGGACCTGCCAAGGGGTGGGAGGAAAGGTATACAGGCATAAATCCCAGAGAGAGGAGCTGCGTGTTACCAGATTCTAGTGAGTAGTAATGAGCAGGACATCTGCTGGGAACTGCTAATTAATCTCCAAGTATGGCAGTGGGTGGGCAGATTTGTATAAGGGATGTGCAGATTAGTATGAATTCGGTTTGGGTCAATGTTACATGCATTTATGTATTAGACAATTATGGCACATTTTATATAAACTATTTTTAAAAAAGAAAATACTTCAAATGTTTGCAATCTCTCACAGCTTTGTCAAATATACATGTTTTTGTACATAATGTTCCCCAAAATACACTCTGTATGTAATTTTCTTAAATGTAACAAGGGTTTTCGGTACACAATCTTTCAAACATCTACTTTTTCTGTACCCAGCTCTCTTTTTACATACATACATACATTGCATATAATGACAAAGACGCAAAATAATTGAGTCCAATGTTAACAAACTTCATGAATTACGTTTATGCTGTGATAGATTCCATTTTGGAGGATCACCCCCATTTTTTGCTTGTAAAGAAATGCATGGCAGATCTGTCTATCAGTATTCGTTCTGGAAATACAGCCCCCTCAGAAAGTCAGCGGAGAACTGCCAGCCATCCTCCTTTCCAAGCTCTGCTTGGACTGCAAAAGCTCGGCCCACATTAGATGGCATCTTCATAACAAGGGACAAATCAATAACTTCATTCTTCTCTTTCTTGGGATTCAAAGTTTCTGCTGGACAAACCTCTTCTGATTCTTTACAATTCTTCTATCCACTACAAAGCCACATATTGTGAATACAGAGGGCCCTCCTTTCTAGTTCCAACAGAATTGTTTCTACTTTTCTTTTCACCCTGTTTTTTTTCTTGTTTCTTTTCCTCTACTGAAGCAAGCAGTTGCCACCCAATTCAAAGTAGAGTTTTATCTCTCCTCTCATATTTCTGATACACTTTGGGATTTAAAAAATAATTCACTTTTTTACCTACAGATTCCAAACTGGTTCCAAAATCAGATTCAAGAAAATAAAGGGACACACATACCTCTTCAGGAGCTCCACTGCCTGGGAAGAAATTGCCATTGTCATAGCGATGGAGGGAGATGTAGAGCACACTGGGATCACTGTAAAATGCCTGCTGGGTACCATTGCCATGATGGATATCCTGCCAGCACAAAGTAGAACATGAGTAGAAGAGTCAGCTTGGGGTTAGCAACATGGTACATGTAGGCACCAAGGCACCCACAGCTCTCTTCAATTATATTGGCGGGCATTGATTTTAAAAAATGCACCTTTGTAAACTCACAAAACCACCAAATCTCACAAGACTTTGGTGTTTTCACTTGATAACTTGCAAGAGTTCAGACATGAATGCCAAAATTTCACAAGTTTAACATTCCCACACAAGTCTGTGATGTTCTCACAGAAGTGTGCTAAATATTAGATACCATGATAGCTCACTCTTTTAAAGTAACTGTACGATGAATCTGAGCATCTGAAAAAGGTGCTGATGCCATCTTATCAAAGATAGGGCCCAATTCAGGATAGAGATAGTATTCAAGGAGGACACTGGAGGATGATGTTGGAAGAGCTTCAGAAGAAATCCATGGGGGGGGACAAAGAGCCTAAAGCCAAATCTTATGACAATAAGTGACCACTGAAACAGAAAGAGAAAAAGCCTTACCCAATCCACAATGAGGATTTTACTGATGGCAAGTTTTTGTTGTAGAAGCTTAGCAGCAATGGCAACAGAGTTGAAGAAGCAGAAGCCCCTAAACAAAATGAAAAGGAAGAACAGATTATTGGACCAGGGCAATGACATATGAACAGCATAAGAACTGATATACTGTACCAGAATAGGGGCCTCCTAAGCCCAACACTCTGTATTACAGTGGGTAATTACCAATAATTATTGGTAAGTGCCCTCCTTCTCAGATATTTTGAAGCTTATATTTGTTTTCAGACTGGAAGTCCTGTTCATCTGTTGCAGCAAAACCAACAGAAACTCTCGTAACAACCAAAAGATAAAATGGCATACTCTCACAGACAAAGCTTACAACTTATTTCACTAGCTTTATCTAATCAAATGGACACTGCCTATAAAAGTTTATGTCATAATAAATGTATTGCTCCTTAATATACTGCAAGAAGTCTTGAATGCCTTTGTGTCTGATGTGTACATAATTATTAGTTAAAATTTATTTTGACTACCTTCTTCTGTACTTCTTCCAACTCTATTATACTGTTTTTCAGGTATGGAAGCCAGAACTCTAGATGCAGACATATTATAGATATTTATCAGGACATTACAATATTGGCATTTTTATTTTCATTCCTTTTCCTAATGATCCCTGGTGTAGAATTTGTATTTTTCACAGCTGCTGCACACCAAGTCACATCTTCATTGGGCTATCCACTATGACTTGAAGATCTTTTTCCTAGTTAGGGACAGCTCAGACCCCAACAATGTATATGGGGAGGGGGAACATCTGACCATGAAAACTACACATGCAATATTAAGAAGAGATCGGGGACAATAAAGCATATCACAGTTGTTGAGAGTAAGGCAAATGACTTTGATGGAACTATGCAAGTACCATTACCTAGGTAAAAGGGGACTTTTTAAGTCCTGAGAAGTGAGATAATATTCAGAAGTGGCTCAGGCAGACACCTCCCTGATTCACTGGAGGATAAGAATGGTGAGCAGGTGCAGCATAAGCAGACGTGCAAGATTCTGTTGTTATAGCTAACCTCAATAAAGGTAAGTTTAGCCTTCCCGTGGAGTCAATTTCCTGGTCTGGTCTACCTAATGGGGCTGGCAACAGGTAGCAGACCTGGTACTGATGCATATCCTTTCAGCTAAAACCCTGAAATTCTGCAATGTGTTAATCGTGTTTCAGTTGGGTTAGATCCAATCTAAACAGTTGCACTTAGTTCCCTGTTAATTCAGTAAGATTTAAGTTACTCCTATAACTAGCTTCTCACGTTGAGTCAGAAGCCATTTAGCCCACTGAGTTTCATCCTCTGCTCAGTAGAGGAATCTAAATTGAAACATCTCTGACAGATTGCCGTTATCCTCCACTTGAAATTGTCCAGTGAAGGGAAGCCCACTGCTTTTCTGGGTAATTGGTTCCCCTGTATAGACTCTGGAAAATTCAGAGGATTTAAACTTTCTTCTGTGTGATGTCCTTTCAGATAATTGAAGAGTGCTACCAACTGCCCTTCAGTGCCTTTTTGCAAAGATAACTTTCACAATTCCTTCCATGTTTATTCATAAGGGCCCAGTTTCTAACTTCTGATTATCCTAATTGCTCCTCAACCACTGAGAAACACTCTTCAAAATGTGATTTTCAAGCCAGCTATGTATTCACTTTATTGGCATGCTATCCAGCACATACTGTGTTCAACAAGCTTGCTAATCAGAATGTCACGAAATACTTTGTCAAATGCTTTGCTAAAATCAATATATTACTTCTATAGCATTCTCATAATCTATTAAGGAAGTTACCCAATTAAGATGAATTAGCATTTGCCTGGCAAGAGTTGTTCTTGACAAATCTATGCCAACTTCTGAGAATACAACATTTTCTAGATCTATTTAAGACTAGGGTTGGTTAAATAAAATGTCACTGATATCAATGGATCTAACAATGCAATACTACTCAAGAAAGAAGAGATGAGATTTCCTCTGAGAGGAAGGCATGTAAAATGGCTTTCAAATTTTTAAAAATGCACCTTTCCTCACCCCACTTCCTCAAAAGAATTTGTTTTAGAAAATGTAACATTTATTAATTTTACAGTACTTAAATGTAAATATGTTTTCCTCATTTGTAGTATACACATACATGGCAGTAGACTCTTCTGCATGATGACCTGGTGGTCGGATGACAGCAAATCCATTCTAAGGATGAAAAAGTCAAATATCTTTATTAATGTGTTCATTACATTATGATTAGTTACAACCTTTTTTATTGTACTTTCGGTCAAGGGTTCGGAGAAGAATTTACCTTAAGCTCCCCTGATGCCACTTTAAAGGCCAGCTCCAGTAAGCAGCCAACAGCCATGCGGACGGCACTGGATGAGTGCATCTCATTCCACACTGTGTCACTGTCAACCTGCCATGAAAGTTTTATAGATCACAGGAGTTGCAGAAGCGAAAGGGTTCAAGAGTACAGCCTTTATCATTTCCTTCTTTGATTTCTACCCTGCCTTTCGTTCAAGAATTCATACACAATACTATTTTTCCCACAACAATAACCCTGCAAAGGTTGGGGTTGGGAGAGTGACTGACCCAAAGTCATTCAGTGAGTTTCTGTGGCTGAGGGTGGACAAGAACCTAGATCTCATTTCCAGGCCAAAAGCTTAACCCAGTGTTTCTCAACCTTGGCAACTTTAAGCTGTATGGACTTCAACTCCCAGAATTCCCCAGCCAGCATGGAGTGGTGTTGTAATGAGAGGACTCATGCAGGAACAGTCCTTTGCTTTCCTTCCTATGCAAACAGCTGTTAGAGGGAGTAAAATGGAGTGCGTTCCCTAAGGAGGGAGTTTGGTCTCACCTCTTGCAGGATTCAGGAAAGTGGCAAAGATCCATCCTTTCCACCAAGCTCTTAAGTGTTAATAGAACTGATTTAATGATACTGATGTTTAATTTTAGTCTAATTTTAACTGCATTGTTTTTATTTTCACATTTTATAATTTGTATTTTTAATTGCTGTAAGCTGCCTTGAGCACTGTATGGATAAAAAGGCAGGATATAAATTTGATTTAAAAAACGGAAATAAATGAAAGATGCAGCTGAGGCCTCGTTCATCACTTTATGTACTGCTATCAGGAAGCCCCCCCCCCCCCGATCCCCCCATTGCTCTATAGGACTCTCATGGGTATCCAATAGCAAGTAAAATGAAGTTAAGAAGCAAAGAAACAAAAGGAATGATTTTAAAGATATTTGGGTTCAATTTGAGGACATATGAAAAGATTGGGAAGATGCAATAAAAAATAACACAGGGAACCATCTTATATCAAACTCAATCATTTGTCCTTCTGGTTTTATATTGCAGCTCTCCAGGCTTTCAAAAAGGGGTCATGCCCCATCACAGATGAAAACTGCATCTGCTTGCTATTGACTTGCAGCCCCATTCCCAGAAATGGAATAAATGACACAGTAGAAATGAAGTTTTAAGCCAGAATGTGAGAAGCATTCATTTCCTGCCATCTGATTTCCCTGGCAATTGGGCTATACGCACCCCAATTCCACCACACGGGAGGACAGCATACATCTTCTGAGTAAGGGGACCTGCAAAAAGAGAAACGGAGAAGAGGAAAGGACATGAATACCACATATCATACACCAGTTACATTGTACATAAGATTAATCCATTTCACTCACACTTTTCATGTCGATTTCTACTGCCATAGAAAGAACAAATTTCTAATCTTCATGAATACAGGATTCAATTGGGTAACTTGTACTTCCATTAGCTCTTTTTTATGGCTACAGTGGGTTATAAGTCATCAATTTATTTGCCCACAATTTTGAAAAAGGAAGGCATGCTATAAGCTCTAAAATAGGCTAAACATGCAAAGATCAAAGAAACACCCAAATTCTACCTAACCCCCCCTCAAAATTGAGACTCTACCCATTATCTGTAACATGCCCACTTTGCTTTGCATCACTGCCTCATTCATCCCACGTCCCAATGCTGGTAAGCCCAGTTCCCTGCCACCAAAGGTTACCCATCTAATACAGAAGTTTAAAAAGGAAGATAGACGTTGCCAGACATTCTGATATTAAAAGAAGGCCTAGCAGATTGTCCTTCCCTATGTTTAACCTTACATTTTCTGCCTTTACCGTATACACAGATAAAACAAGATTCTGTACACGTTTGAAGTTTTTTAAAAGGGGGGGGCAACATTCTGCCTCATGAAAATAGAATTATGTAAAGTGCTAGACATTCTACCTAGTAATTTCTTGCTGTCAAGTTTTTGCCTATTCAAGGGGCTCGTTCCATATAGTAACGTGTGATGTTCCGAATGGACAGCCTGGATTTCATCCAATGTTGCCTTCCGGCCTCGGATCCTCTAGTAATAAAAAACGGGTGAAGACAATACAGAGAAAAATTGGAATATGGATTTTGAAAGCATTCTGAACAAGAATTCAATCTGATACCAGGTCATGCCTCAAGTTACATTTACCATGTCTTATACTTTGTCCATGTTTTTGTAGTAAAGTTTATTCATTTCATGTCATTTTCAGTGTAGATATATTTCAAGCTAAGTCTCTAAATTTGGCCTAACAGTCAAACTTTTCTCCATCCCAGCCTTTTCCATATTTCGTTTTGGGTTAAGAGTGGTAGGCAACCCTTCAACCGCACATCCTCCACCTCCAGAACATTCACGAATGGCTTCGAGCCCATATCAACGTTGCAACTGAAATTCATCAGCTCGGTGCCTCTCTTCAAAGACAAAAGTCAAGGTTCACTTTAATATTGTTCAATATTAAATGACTTTATGGAAAAAAATGGACTCTTTGTTCTGGCTTCAGAACAAACTAGTTCTTTTTTTTTGGCTTCACTTTTCTATCCTGGTCAGGCTTTGTTTTTGGAGTAGGACCCCTGGCATACCACACAAATACAACATGTGACCCCCTCCAGGCAAAAACATTGCCCATCCCTGCAACATAATTTCTTTTGTGGCCCCTCTAGGATTTGCTCTGAAGTACTTGCAAGAAACCTTCCCCTGATAAGTGCTTTGTTAGCAGCATGACCCTGGGGATATTTCTCTACAACGCCTATAAGATCATTCACACAAACCTGTCTTGTACTAAGTCAGGTCACTGGTCCACTTGCCAAAGTAGAGCCTTTTTTTGATTGCCTGCTGCCAAAGTTTCAGGCAAAAGTATTTTCATCTCTCACTACCAGAGGTCCTGCCTAAGAATCTGAAATCATCTGTATGGAAAGCATACACTTAACCACTAAGCCAGCCTTCCCCAATCTGGGCATCTTTAAGCTGTGTGGTTGCCAGTTCCCAGAATATCCCAGGTTGCATGTAATTTCTATGCGCTGAGAATTCTGGGAGTTGAAGTCAGCACATTTGGGAAGTAGCCAGATATGGCTGTGGTAGTAGTTGAAACTAAGTTTCCTAGAGAAATGTGTGAAGTAATTAACAATGAAAGAAAATATGTGAATTAGGGAAAAAATACATATGCACAGTTCTCTGGAAGGTATATGATCCCATCAGCTGATAAAGTCAGGTCAAATCTCTCAGAGTTAAACTGTCTTCATTTATTGCTCTTTCCCTGAATAATTTTTTTTAAAAAGCCTTTCCCAGAGAGTATGACAGAGCCCACAAACAGCTTAATTCCTTTGCCTGCCTTTTTTTTTAGAGTGAAGCTAAAGGGATTACTCAAGGGATTACTCAAAATGTTACAATTAACAAAACAGCTGTATATATGTGCCAGAGTTCAGTGCCAGTTCGCATCAAAGTAGCAGCTGTCTTTGGAGTCTCTTATTTTGGAAATGTTCCCCTAATTATTATCTTCCAATAATGATGATTATGCGCCATCAAGTTGTTGACTCTTAGAGACCACATACATAGATTTTCTCCATGATGATATGTCCCTGATGTGGCCCTTCAGGTCTTCCAGCTATGCACTCATCAGTACTGTAACTGAGTTTGTCTACCTTGCTGCTAGTTGTCCTCTTTTTGCCTTTTCTTCCACCTGGTCAGTGCCTCAAGTGAGAACTCTGGGTTGATTTTTCAATGATCCGTGTGTTTGTTTTCTTGGCTGTCCACGGTATCTTCAGCACTTTTCTCCAACACCAAAGGTCAAAAGTGTCAATACTCTTTCTGTTTCTTCAAAATCCAACTTCTGCTTCCATAGAGTGGCACAGGGCTTGCATAATTCTGATCTCCTGCAGATCTACGTATTCAGTACGTTGCTGATGTGAATTAAATACATCAGGCCTTCCTTTGCTGATTAGATTTATATCCAATCATATTACAGCTGATCAGGTTGGATAACAAAAATATTACGAAGCCTAAAAGGGTCTTATATTTTTGGCCGATCATTTCATATCATTGGATTTCACCTAATTTCTGCCAGGAGTTCAACAGTCCTGGCATTCAAATACATTTTTCACTAACCCCCATCCCCCCTGATTTTAAGCATGATAAGGAAATAAATGAGCAAAAGACTCACCCTCACAGCTAAATTTGCAGATGTGTGGCAGACATCGAGAGACTGCACAGATGCTTTCCCCAGGAAGATTCAGTACATAATTGATGATCAGCCCCAGGGGGGAGTCAACACTCTTATAAAGTCAATACACGTTCCTGCATGAAAAATGTAACAAAGTAACCTACAGTACTTGAAAATTAGTGGGATAGCAATGAGGGAACATGTATATGGTACTGTTTTTCATGCAGGAACATGAGCTTTTACATTGTACAAGGGCTATTTGTTTTTCATGCTAAGTATCAACAGGATTATGAGTACTACTTTTATAAGAGTGTTGACATCCCCTGGAATGGACTGACCTTGCTGGGGAAATCCTGGCTCTATGAAATCCCAAGGTCTTCCATATATTTGCTGAACCACAAATCCCAGCATCTCTCACCACTGCACAAACTGGCTAGGGCTGCTGGGACTTGTAGCATAGCAACATAGAGTATCTTTTGTTTTCATAGTTGCATTGCAGTTATTCTCTTTTGCGCTAGAGATACAGACTGTGAAAGGTACGCTTTACATATCTTTCTTCCCGTTTCTTAAAATATTTTCAAAATGAGTAAGCACATTAGGTGCAGCAAAATCAGACAGTCTTGCAGCAATTTAACGATTAGCAAATTTACCGGGGCTTAAGGAACAGAATAAAACCTACCACATGCCTGATAATGTGGACTGATCTATTTTGTATTTGTTATTTTTTATGGTGCCACAAAACACAGATATTCTAGGCTGGGCCCTTCCTTCACTGTAAAGTCATTTTCCCAAATGTGGCTATTTTTTCAATCTGACTTTGGAAGCTGCCTTACCATCTGCTGGCAAATAAGTTCCACTCTGAGATTTCTTACCTCGCACTTGCTTAGCAATCCTGTCTCCTGTAGTCTGGACCAAATACTCTGGATTCTCCCAGCATGTTCTGGGTGAACATTAGTGTTTCCACATGTACACTGGTGCTTCAGCATGAATGTGTCATAAACAACACCTGTGAAAAGGTGGGAAAAAGGCACAGTAGAGGGAAGGAGGAAAAAATAAAAAGCAATTGAAATCCTGCCAAGATCTTTTTGGACAGATGGCACATTTGGGATTTTGATGGCACGCTAAAGACACTATCACAAAATTACCACCATCATGGATGTGGTCAGTTATACAGCACCAGTTTACTAGAAGGCAAACTCCTAAGATTGTTCTGTATCAGTTAGCCTGCATGGCTTCTACTATGCTAGCTAACTTTTCTCTTTTTTCTTCAGCAACTGACCACTCTCTCCAAATGAAGGACCACATTATATTTATTTGTTAAGAATGTCTGTGGGGCTTGTGAGGTTGTCAGACACATTCTGTACATTTGGATATATAACCTGTCTCTGCGCCTCCACTTGGCCATACCCTCTCCAAAGACTGCAGCCAAATGTGACAAAAAAGAAAACAATAGAGCTTATAAGGGGAGATATATAAATTTAAACTGGTATCAAGTTCTTTTTCACTGACCCTCCCTATTCAAAGGGAGTGTAGCCCCCAACAAACCATTTTTTTTTTTATTGCACCTCTGAGTCAGTGCTGACTCCTGGTGACTACATGGACTAGTCCCTGCAGTTTTCTTGGCAAGGTTTTTCAGAAGTGGTTTGCCATTGCCTCCTTGCTAGGGCTGAGAGAGACTGGCTGGCTCAAGGTCACCCAGCTGGCTTTGTGCCTAAGGCAGGACTAGAACTCATGGTCTCCCGGTTTCTAGCCTGGCGCCTTAACCGCTACACCAAACTGGCTCTCCCAACAGACTGCAAAAGCCCCTAAAGTTGAAAAAGTT